CAGGAGAAATACGGTTGGCCCAAGACACAGATATGCATTTTATTTATTTATTTTAATTTAAAAAAATATGTGTTTATTGATTTTAGAGAGTGAGAAAGGGAGAGGGAGAAAGAGAAAAAAAACATCGATGAGAGAGAAACATCAATCTCTGCCTCCTGCATGCCCCTTTCTGGGGATCGAGCCTGCAACCTGGGCATGTGCCCTGACCAGGAATAGGACCAGTGACCTCTTGGTTCAGGGGTCGATGCTCAACTACCGAGCCACACCAGCCCCGGCCGGGCATTTTGGACCCAAGGCAAAAAGGACTGTCAGAATGTGCCCACGTGGAGCTGGTCAGCGCTGCGGTGTTTCCAGGAGAGTGGCTTAGGGGTTGAGGAGATGGGGAAGTGGAGAGAAGAAAAATAAAGAGGCATCTCTACACTTTAGGCCTCCAACTCTCTATCCCTCTCCCTTCCTCTCTGTAAAAAAAAATAAAAAAATAAAAAAATCAATAATATATATAAAAGCAATAGTCTCAGAGGAGACTTTATAAAAATTACATTGCCCACGTTTCCTAGGCTCCTCAGCCTAGACTGCGGGCCCTTGGTGTCCTGGTCTGTGAGAGTCACCAGTAGCCCCGACACCCGTGGGCCTCCTGTCTCTTGACTGTTCAGTCAGAGGCCACAGCAGCTTCAACATAGCAACGTTCCCATGCTGAGGTGGTGAGGTGACCCGCTCCACGTTTACCCTCACCCAGTCATCCGTTTTCACAGCCCTGCAGTGGCTTTCGCCTTGGCCAGGAAGGTGCTTCTGATTTAGTTACAAACTCCAAACGACCAGCGTGAAGTCGAAGTATGTGACTATGTTGGGTTGGGCCCTTTGGAACAGGCTCCGGGATGGAGACGGGGGCCGGTTATTGGAGTGTGGCTCTAGGATAAGGTGACCCGCTTTTTAACAATTTGTCCCGCTTCCCGGTGTTTTAAAAAAGTCTCGATTTTTGGAAAGAATCTTACTCTAGGACCACCACCTGTGGGGAGCCAGGGGGCAGATAGGCTGGGCAGAGGTGGTCTGCGATGCGGTTGCAGCAAGGACTCGGCTGATCCTAGGGGGCGCCTTGGAGCTAAGATGCCCTTTAGAGGTGTCCCGTTCTGAGACCAGGGGTACTTGCCATTGGGCTGGTTGGATATGAATAGCGCCCAGCGAGGGGCTGTAGCCTTAGAGGAGGCGATGACTGTTGACGGAGGGCAATCCCTGGGGGATGATGCAATGTCAAGCTGTCAGCAGGCAGCATCCCCAGCAGTTGGGGGGATGAGAGCCTTGGCCCATTAATTGTGAAGCAGTGTCTAGTCATCCCTGAAACATCTGGGCAGGTATTTCCTTTTTCCCAGGGCATGCTCACCCTAGTAAGGACATCATTTGCTTCCTTTGGGAAAGGCTTGCATGTATTATAGATTGGTAGTGTATGTGTATGGTGATGCTATAAGGTTTTTCCTCAGGGGGACCAGCCTGTCTTGTTTTTTTAAAAATATACTTTTATTGATCTAGAAAGGAATGGAGAGGAAGAGAGAGACAAACATCAATGATGAGAGAGAATCATTGATTGGCTGCCTCCTGCATGCACCCCACTGGGGATTGAGCCCGCAACCCGGGCATGTGCCCTGACTGGGAATTGAACCGTAACCCCCTGGTTCATAGGTCGCTAGCTCTACCACTGAGCCTGCTGGCCGGGCCTCACCTGTCCTTTAGAAAAGGGGCTGTGTCTGTGATCTGGCGCAGTGTATGGGAACTGGGTGAGAAGAATGCCTTTCCATTTTGATGGCCCCAGTCAGGTTTCAGAAAGCAGAACTACAGTTTTAAAGATCAAGGAATATTTCTAAAGTCTGCACAGGGCCACTTAGGATGCTACCGAAAATCCCTGGGGACCAAGACCTCTGAGTGTTACTTCTTGCTGCCCATTCACCGTGTCCCCCTTGTCCCTGCCAGTTAAACGCTGCCCCTTGCTCACTGCCATCCCAGGACCCCATTATCATGGAAATCAGGAAGCCATCTCTCTGAAAGCATCTCTCCCACCATATCCAGCCACTGCGGAGCTTTTCTGTTGCTCCCCTTACTAATGAATGTATTTTCCAATGCCTGAATGTAGAGACTGTCACCTGGGGACATGGAGATTGGGGCTGAGCACTGTGATAACATAACTCCAACAGTCCCCTCCCCACAGCATTTCAGGTTTCTTTCTCTGCCTCATACCAGGGACATTTTGTCATCTCATTGAATATGGACAACCACTGAGTCAGAGTTCCATTTCACCAACTAAGGCAGCCTCCGGAGTCACTTTCAGTGCTTGAGCTAACACATGAAAGCCAGCCTTCCTGGTAAATGCGCCCACATCAACACATTTAGCCCAATCCTTTGCCCTTCGTTTTGTTTGGAACTTGACCAGGAGACTTTCTGCCTTTCATAGGTCATGTCACCTTGGACACTAATGCTGATATTTGAGGCAGTAATACAGCACGTTGATATTGGTCTGCATTTGTAGCTCTCTCATTCACAATGGTTCCACATACAGGTGCAAGCATCTGACTTTTATTAGGTCTTCTGATAGAGCTGTGTGGTAGCAGTTACTTATGGAAATACATATCTACCTAATAAAAGAGTAACGTGCTAATGGACTGTACCTCCGCAATGCCTTCCAGCCAATCAGGAGCGAATATGCAAATCAACCCAACAAAGATGGCCAGTTAATTTTCATACACAAGCCCTGGGCGGCTGGGGGAGGGACAGGACGCGGGGACAACGCAGACGTTCTGCACCACCCCAGCTGCTCTGGCCTCGGCAGTGGGGAAGGTGGAAAGGTGGCTCTCAGCCAGAGCAGAAAGGCACCGGAAGCCAGGGGAAGGAAGGCCCATTCTTGCATGAATCTTTGCGCATTGGCTCTCTAGTTAATTACAAATCACTTCCCTTTATTATACAATTACAACACATATTTATTTATTTTTTGAAATTTGCATAGGTAGGTAATATTATTTGTGAATTGCACTTCACGATAGTCAGGGGAGGGTTTAAAACACTAGTTACAAAAGGGGATGATGGGCCTGACAGGGTTGAGAATGACTCCCCCTGCCTTTCAGGCTGCAGTCATGTCTGCACAGGCACGTCCACGATGAACCACAGTGGGTCTGGAGCACAGGCGCCAATGGAATCACTCGTTATCAATCTTCTGAAGGCGGTTATGATTCCGTAGAGAAGTCAGTGTCCTACTCAATCCACTTCCAGAGCCACTCAGGAAGACAGCAATAAGGAGGGCTACTGGCAGCAGCAACGAAGAGCTACCTAACAGATGCCACAGGAGCAAGCTGCTTTGTGCCTGACAAAGCCTGGGAGAGCAATCTTTTGTGCATCCCCGAGACTTGGGGAGTGGAAGGCAGGCTCCCTGGTCTGCAGGATCCGAATCCCAGTTTCTTTCTACGTAGAGTCTTGGGGACAAAGCAGGGAGGGAGAGTCCACACTCGGTTTGTGAATGAAGGCAGGTGTTCGGTCTTGACCCAGGAAGTCCAGCTCTGGGCTGCTGCTCCACGCCACGGCCTGCACTCTCTCTGGCCCTCAGGGAGCACACAGGGCTGCAGGGCAGCAGTATCCCACTCCCTTGTCACTCAGCTCCTCCTTCAGGACCTCTGCCCTCTCAGGCAGCCTGCCTCACCCCCAGCCTGGTCTGGCTCCTTGGTCACAGGTTCCTTCAGAAGCGTTTCTCACCTGTGATCTCTGGTCTCCGCGTGGGATTGCTGTCATGAGCGGTGACGATGTGGGTTATGTGGGCCACCTCCCACGACTGGCTCTCCTGTTTGCTTATGCCCCCGTCCCCCCCTGCCTCCCCTGACTCCCTGTCATCCCAGGACCTGGTACCCTGTAGGCACGGAGTAAACAGTTGGTGAGAAATAAACGTTTGCTCCAAATCCCAGAAGCGCCAACACCTTCTGTGACTGCAACGTACCACTGCCTCCGAAGCCCGTGCATTTGACAGCCGAGCCTTCCGCCGCGGGAGAGCACGGCCACTGTGTTTTGTACAAACGGGGGAGTCGGCACAGGCAGAACCACCCCTCAAAGGCCCCATCAGGGCGGCCCTGCAGGTCCTCCTTGCTCTGCATGACACCTGCCCCCATCCCCCCACCCACTTCCCCAAAACCAAACCCAGAGGCCAATGACACTGGGGGGGGGGGGGCGGTCGTCTAGCTGGGAGGTCCATGGAGACGAGGTGGGAGGGCCGAGCTCCTGTCCCCTATCCCTGCCCCTGTCCCCCATCCCTGCCCCTGTCCCCCATTCCTGCCCCTGTGCCCCATCCCTGCCCCTGTCCCCCATCCCTGACCCTGTCCCCCATTCCTGCCCCTGTCCCCCATCCCTGCCCCTGTCCCCCATCCCTGGCCCTGTGCCCCATCCCTGCCCCTGTCCCCCATCCCTGCCCCTGTGCCCCATCCCTGCCCTTGTCCCCCATCCCTGCCCCTGTCCCCCATCCCTGCCCCTGTCCCCCATCCCTGCCCCTGTCCCCCATCCCTGCCCCTGTCCCCCATCCCTGCCCCTGTGCCCCATCCCTGCCCCTGTCCCCCATCCCTGCCCCTGTCCCCCATTCTTCAGGGGTGTCTGGCATCACCTCCTGAGCAGTGACCCTGTGTCCAGGGCCTCCCCGCGGGAAGAGCATCGGACCGGGGCAGCTCGGTCTCAGATGCAGGGAGGGACAGAGGGGAGAGGCTGGATGGGGCCCGTCTCCCGGGGGAAGCAGGCGGCGTGCGGAGGGCACCTTTCCGTCCCTCGGGGTGTGACCCGGGCGGGTCAGGCGCAGCCCGGGGCACCCCGCCGGCACCGGGGCCGGGGCGCGGGGAGCAGGTGCGGGGAGCAGGCGCTGGTGCGGGCCGGGCCCGGGTGCGAGGCGCGGCGCGGGCGGCAGGCGGCGGCCTCGGCCTGTGGCAGCGGGAGGCGGCGGCGGTGATGTCAGGCGGCCGGGCCGGGCCGGCACTTCCTGTGCGAAGGCGGCGGGCGGGCTCCGCGGCCCCACTCGCAGCGCCGGCCTCCGGGCGCGGGGAGGAGCCGGGGGAGGGCTGTCAAATTCGGGAGCCGGATTCTCCCTGCCCCCGGCCATCCCTTCCGCTTCCCCGGGCCCGGCGAGCCCTCCGCGGGCCGGGAGGATGGCGGTGCTCAAACTCAGCGACCAGGTAGGGCCGGGGAGAGGGGCGCGGGGCGCGGGGCGCGGGCGGCGGGAGGGGGCGCGGCGCGGGCGGGGGCGCCCGGGGCTGTTTACGCCGCGCGGGGAGGGTGTGCGGCTGCGGCTGCAGCTCCAGCTCCGGCTCCGGCCCCGCGCACTCCCGCCCGGGCCGCCGGAGCTGCGCCTGGGCTCGGGGAGGGGGCGCGGGTGTGCGATCCCCGGACCCGCGGGGCAGGGGGAGGGGAGCTCAGTGCCCGCTGCGCAGCGGGGGCTCCGCCGGCGGCCGCTCCGGGGCGCCCAGGGCTGCTGGTCTGCGGGGAGGGCTGGCTGGTCGGCGCCGCTGGGCGGGCGAGGACCGGGATGGAGCGGGAGGAGGACGCAGCCGGGACCCTGCGCCCAGCCCGGCCCGGCCCCCGCCGCTCCGGGTGCCCGCGGTCTCCGCCGGTTGACATGACAGCCCCACTTCCTCTTCGGCTGCCCGGGCCGTGCGCGGGGCGCGGGGGGCCCGGACCGGCCCAGGGGCGAGGACCCGCGCACAGGGAGGGGTGCCCTGCCCGTGCCCAGCAGCCGGTGGCTCTCCTGGCGGAGCCTGGTGCAGAGCGGGGCTCGTGGGCAGCCCCCGGGGGTCCGCTGCGGAGTGGAAGCGCCTCGCCTCGGCGGCCCCGGCCCCGGCCCGGCTGCTCTGGGCGCAGGGACACTGGGGGACCCACCAAAGTTGCAGGACCGAGCCTCTGGCAGCCCCTGGCACGGAAGGAAGACCAGCCCGCTCCCCCCTCTTGCTGCCTGTTCTCCGGGGGTGCAGAAATGTTGCTTTGGTGGGCCGGCAGGCCTGACACCCCGTGGGACGGTCCCCGCGCTCGGCCTTAAGCATCTCTGACTTCCCCGCGTGGCTGCCCCTGGTGGGGCCCCCCCCCCCCCCAAGCCGGGTCCGGCCCTGAGAACATCCTGAGCTTAAATACAGTGTCACCGCAATGGTTTGCCCTCCTGCCTCCCTCTCAGAGTCAAAGCTTTGGTTTGCTTCCCCTAAGGATTTACCCCCCGCCCCACCCTGTCTACCCCGTGTGGGGGATAGATCACCCAATTAAAACACACGTTAAATTTAGCAGGAGGAGCAGCTGGTCACTGCGAGGAATCAGCTTGTCCCCGTGGTCCCAGAGCAGTTAAAAGTGTGTGTAAGCTGATAGTGGGATTCCCCCCACCTTTTGGTCACAAACTGGGACAACTGTTGGACATTTGCTCGGGTTAAATCTTCCAGTTGTAGTCTGACAGGGTCTTGTCCTCTTTGCCAGTACACGCTACTCACTGTACTGTCTGCTACTCCCAAATCTTTAAAGTACCAAAAATACTTCCAGTACTCATTATTGTTATTATCACAGTCACAACATGTCACGCAGAATTTTGGAGTAGTAAGGGACCCCAAAGACCGTCTTTGCCCGGATGGCATGGCTTAGCTGTTGAGCATGTGGTGGATGGTTCGATTCCCAGTCAGAGCACAACGCGGGGGTTGCTGGCTCCATTCCCAGTAGGGGATGTGCAGGAGGCAGCCGATCAATGATTCTCTCATCAATGATGTTTCTCTCTCTCTCCCTCCCTCCCTCCCTCCCTCTCTCTCTCTCTCTCTCTCTCTATCTATCTATCTATCTATATATATACACACACATACATATATATATATAAAATCGATAAAAATTATTTTAAAAAAAGAGAGAGCATCTTAGCCCAAATGCTTCGTGTTTAAAACGAAGGAACAGATCCGGAGAAGGGAAGTACATCTGCTGCTCGCCTCCCAGGCCCTGTGCTTTCTGCGGAGGTTAAGACGCCCCTGTCCTGTCACTGGGTGTGTTGAAAGGGTTCCCGGAAGGCCTCGTCTTCTAAATCGCTGTCAACACCAGTGAAAAGTGCGCGACCTGGTCTTACAAGAAAGAAAGTTGCTTGTTCTTCAGGACTTACCTTTTAAAACGTTTACATCTTAGGTGTGACTACACACCTCCCTGCCCCCAACCAAGTGGTGTGACTGTGGGGAGAACGGAAGGGCTGAGCGGCCCTCATGGGGCTCCTCTGGTGCCGGATGCGGAAAAGGACCAGGAGTTCCACGACTTGAGGCCACCTGTAACTCGCCGGCCCATTTCTGGGCAAAGCCAGAGGAAGGCTGGCCGGGGAGGTGTTCGGGGTGGGGTGGGGTGGTGGGCAGCCATGGTTTCCGTGTGGCTTTGGGTCCAGGAAGTGTGTGACCTTCCTTGCCTTATATAGCCTTACCTTTCAGTTTGAAACTCGAGATTCTTAGAAGCGGGTTCCGGGCCTCCCCAGAGGCTGAAACCCCCGTGGTTTAAGCTCCTCCTGCACTAGCCGGGCTCCCGGGCTCCACGGCGGGCGGGGAGCCGGCTCCGAGGCCCCGCTGGACCCTGTGTGGAAGACTGAGTGCCTGGGTCTCCGTCCGGCCATCTGTTCCGGACTGTTCCTGACGCCCCCTCATCTGTCCAATGCCCCGTGTGTGTGTGGTGAAGCTTGATTTCTGCCAAGGCTGCTGGGTTTGGAGCTTGAGGACACACTCTTGCCCTGATGGCCCACATCACAAGGGGTCTGGGTTTGTTCTGAGCGCGCCCGGAGTGGGAGTGATGGAAGCCGACATTTCCTGTCTGGCCCACGCTGGGTCCCGAGCTCGCTGGGCTGTGCGGCTGGCCACCGGTCACCGCTTCAGCAGTCAGTCCTGCACCTCCTCCAGGGAGACCCCGGGAGGAGGGCTCCCCTCCTGGCTCTGCTTTGGAAGAGTGAAAAGAAAGAAAGGGGGAGGCGGGGACACGTGTGGTTTTCAGTTTTTGGTGTTTTGTTTTTTTTACTACGAGAAGGAACTGGAAGCTGTTGCTCCAAACGCACTTGGCATTTGGCAGTTCTGCAGTTGTCACTGTGTCTGCTCTGCCTGCCTCTGCACACAACGCACATCATGTTCCAGTGACGGGGGGACCGCCATCCTGTCTGCAGGGGCTGGGGGTTTCCGTAGGACGTGGGCCTCCGGGGCTGGAGCAGGCCAGGGTGGGCGGTCCCGTGAGGAGACGGAGCACGCTCACCTCTGTGATGAGGACAGCCAGGTCATCGTTGTCTCCAAGTGGACACCAGGCTGTTTATTTGTATCTTGGATTAAAAAAAAACAAAACACGAGGTTGCCAAAGGCGGTTTGGCTCAGTGGTAGAGCATAGGTCTGCGGACTGAAAGGTCCCAGGTTCGATTCCGGTCAGGGGCATGTACATTGGTTGCGGGCACCTCCCCGGTAGGGGGTGTGCAAGAGGCAGCTGGTCGATGTTTCTCTCTCATCGACGTTTCTAGCTCTCTATCTCTCCCCCTTTCTCTCTGTAAAAAAATCAATAAAAATATATTAAAAAAAAACCCAAAAAACAAAAGCCAAAAACAAAAAAAATTAGGTCATTTTAAGTTTGGGAAGGAAAATTCTGTTCACCTACGAATGTAACGCCTTTTGGCTCATGAGCCATGAAGCTCTGCTGTTTGATTTGCTGTTGAGCTTCTGGGGGCTGCCCTTTGTGCCACATAGGTAAGGCAGTGCAGTGATTTAAACACACACACACACACACACACACACACACTGATTTCAGAGAGGGAGAGAGACATAGAAACATCCATGACGAGAGAGAATCATGGATCGCCTGCCTCCTGCACGTCCCACTCTGGGGATCGAGCCACAACCCGGGCACGTGCCCTGAAAGGAATCGAATCATGACCTCCTGGTTCAGAGGTGGAGGTTCCGTCACTGAGACATGCTGGCGGGCGGCGCTGCAGTGATTTTAAGCGTGAGGCCATCTCTCCAGCGGGGGCCCCTACAAGCGGTTTCAGAGCTGTGAAGTCAGACGGGAAGTGGGTCGGGCCTCTGAAACGGTCACCTGGGGACTGTTCTCACCTGAACCCGCCGGGGCCCGCGGGATGCCCCCTCTGGTGAGGGCTGCCTGCAGACGCACCGCTTGGGCGGGCGGGCGGCCTGCTGGGCGCTGCTGCCCCGAGGCTGCTGGCGTGGTGTCGCCTTGCCAAGCCCGGGCGCACCCTTGAGCTCCTCATCTCCGTGTCAGAGGCGGTGGCTGGCAGCCCGGGCGGTGGCAGGAATGGAGGATCCCTGCAACATGGAAAGCGGGGTTTCTGGCCCCTGGTGTGGGGCCCTGGGGCCTGTTGGCCACCTCCGGGGGCTGCCCCACCCCCTTCGCTCCCCCTCCCACCCGGCTCACAGCACACCCTGCGCTCCGGGCCTGCCTCCCGCGGAGAAGAGGGGAGAGAAAGGCTGTATTCTCTGACAGTTGTTCGGGGACCCAGTCACATGGTCTGGGGGGGGGGGGGTGCACTGGAGGGCTGGCGTTTCGGGGCAGAGACCTAATAATGGCTTACATTTATCTCGATCTTACTGTGCCCTGGCTGTGAGTCACCGCTCTTAATACCCACAGCCACTGTGCTGTGACTCCCGTGCTGCAGAGGAGAAAACAGGACTGGAGAGGCAGATTGGCCTGTCCCAGGGCACACACCCAGGGGGAGAGCCTGCGAGGTGTCCACCTGTCCTGGCAGCCTTGATGGCATTGGTGGGGCTCTAACCACTAGGCCAGTGTTTTTCAACCTTTTTTGGGCAAAGGCACACTTGTTTCATGAAAAAAATCACGAGGCACACCACCATTAGAAAATGTTAAAAAATTTAACTCTGTGCCTATATTGACTATATATAAAGTAATTCTCTTGAATAGGAATCAAATAAACACAAAGAAAGTATTTTATAATTACTTTATTATGAAATATTAAGTAAACAAAATAGTGAAAAATTATAAAATTCTTGTCTTGTCTGCACCTACGGCACACCAGGCAACATCTGTGCCGCGGAACAGCGGTTGAAAAACGCTGCACTAGGCTATACTTTTAATAGTGGACAGAGCGGTGCGGCCGCTGGACCCCTGGGTGTCTGTCTCACTCCAGGGGCCACGGGGTGAGCTCTCCCTGCACCCCTGGGAGCCCTGGGCCGGCCCCAGG